CAAAGAATTGAGCTACCCAGTGGCTTCTCTTGTCACTGGCTAGATTTTAGAACAAACCTAATTCTCTTGTCCTGACAGGAAAGAACTAGGGAGTCCAGAGGGCATGCTGATGTGTTCCTCCATTGAGGAGTTGAAGAATGTCTGGCTTCCTTTCTCCATTCGCATGAAGATAACCAAGAACAAAGGGCTGGACGTTTGCAATTGGACTGATGGGGATGAGATACAGGTTGTTGAACAACTGGGAGGAGAAAGGGGAATAAGGGAGAGAAGGTTGGGACAGAAGCAGGGCAAGGGGAAGATGGAATTTAGTATAGGGAAAAGAAAGGGAATAAAGCCAAGTATTTCCCAGTTGTGGGCTTTTCCAGAGTGACTCAGTTCAGTATTAAAAGTCATAGATGGGCTAGAATGGAGATAACCCACCCTGGTCCCCCATACCCCAAACTCCCTGTCCTCTATTCCCGTTCCCCTTCCTTCCCCATCCTTAAACTTAGCTTAGCAGCCTGGGTACCCCCCTCACAGTGGGGCCCAGCCAGGGCAGAGGAGGAGCATGGTGTCTCTGTGTATGACCTGATGGCTACTGTGGTACACATCCTGGACTCACGCACAGGGGGCAGCCTGGTGGCTCACATCAAAGTCGGAGAGACCTACCACCAGCGTAAGGAGGTGAGTGAGATTCTACAAGGCAGGGACACTCCTGGCGGTAGCCACATTGGAGTCCCAGGTCTGCCCCTATCTTAAGTCTGAGCCAGACTGGTCCAGCTGTCACTTTAGCGTCAGTCTTTTTTCTCTTATCTCCACAGGGTGTTACCCACCAGCAGTGGTATCTCTTCAATGACTTTCTTATTGAACCTATTGATAAGGTTAGTTGTAACACATTCCGTTCTCCCTTTCATCTCCCCTTCTCCTACGGTTCTCATCCTCCTTCTAGAGAATGCCATGCAGATTGCAGATTCGGGAGGGAGAGAGGGATCCTTAAGAATAAAAAGTGTTGGGTGCCTGGGTGGCTCAGTGGGTTAAGCCTCTGTCTTTGGCTCACATCATGATCCCAGGGTCCTGGGATTGAGGCCCAAGTTGCGCTCTCTGCTCAGCAGGGAGCCTGCTTCCCTCTCTCTCTGCCTGCCTCTCTCCCTACTGGTGATCTCTCTCTCTGTGCCAAATAAATAAATAAAATCTTAAAAAAAAAAAAAAAGAATAAAAAGCATTAGCAGAATTAAAAAATAGCACCTAGTTCTGTCTTCTCTCTGGCTAGGGAAAAAGGAAAAAGGGGTATATATGTAGGCCATTAAGTGCTTTTTCTTTTATAGCATGAAGCTGTGCAGTTTGACATGAATTGGAAAGTGCCTGCTATCCTTTATTACGTCAAAAGGAATCTTAATTCCAAATACAACTTGAACAGTAAGTGGTACAGAGTAGATCAAAGGGTGTGGGCCATTAAGATTGGTCTTTAAGAAGAGATTGTGTTAAGATTAGGATAGGTAACAGTGTTAACATTTCCAGGGATACTAAAGAGAGTCCTGTTCATCAGGCCTTAAATTTAGAACTTGGAAATCCTGAGGTGTAATGGGGGAAGAGTTGATGGGGAGAAATCTGATCAAAATGGCTAAGGTTATGATTTTCAGTCTAATCATTCTTTTCCCCAAATGAAGCTTTCTTCTTCTTTTAGAGGTTAACTCCTTACTAAGGCCCTTTTTGGTGTCTTTAACCATAGTTTCCTTGCATCTTTATTTTTCTGGATTTTTTAAGCTAAAGTCCAGAGCTAAAGTCTTATTCTTTCCTCTCTGCTTTTTTGTTTTTTTCATAACATATTCCTTAATAGTTTTCTGATTTGATCTATTCCATCCATCTGTTCATCAGCCATGATCTTTTTACTCACATGCTTTGATTATTGAGGGATCACAGCATAGACCCCAGTCTCTGGTCAGCCATCTGGGTTTCCCTCCTCTGGTTACTTCCCTGTCCCAAGCCATCTGTCTTCTGGATTTTTCCTTCCAGTCAAGAACCCTATTGAGGCAAGTGTCCTGCTGGCTGAAGCCTCACTAGCACGGAAGCAGCGGAAAACACATACTACCTTTATTCCACTGATGCTGAATGAGATGCCACAGGTTGGGGACTTGGTGGGCCTGGATGCTGAGTTTGTCACCCTTAATGAGGTAACAAAGTCCAAAAGAGTGTGGTGTTGGAACAGAACTCTGGAGAGATAGTAGGAGTCATAATTTTCTTATCAATTCTCGTCACGCAGGAGGAAGCAGAGTTACGCAGTGATGGCACTAAGTCTACCATCAAACCAAGCCAGATGTCAGTAGCAAGGATCACCTGTGTTCGGGGCCAGGGACCCAATGAGGGTATTCCCTTCATTGATGACTACATCTCTACTCAGGAGCAGGTATTAGGATATGGAGGTGCAAGTGAGACAGACCTTGTGCATATGTAGAGTGCTCTAGACCCTCAAGAAGAGTGGTTGAGGGAGACTCTGCACCTCACTTCCTGAGCGGCTTATCCTTTTTTTTATGCCTAGGTGGTGGATTACTTGACTCAGTATTCGGGGATAAAGCCAGGAGACCTAGATGCCAAGATTTCCTCTAAGCACCTCACAACTCTCAAGTCTACCTACTTAAAGCTTCGTTTTCTTATAGACATTGGAGTCAAGTTTGTGGGTCATGGTTTGCAGAAGGACTTCCGGGTCATCAACCTCATGGTTCGGGCAGGGCTCTTTTAAGAGTCTTTGAATGTGGGCCCTTGAGGGTATACATTTTGCTTTCGGAAAATGGGAAATTACAGATCGCCTGCCTTCAGTCTCTCACTCTTTTATCTCTGCCAGGTGCCCAAGGACCAAGTCCTTGACACTGTCTATCTGTTTCACATGCCCCGAAAACGAATGATATCCCTGCGATTCCTTGCTTGGTACTTTCTGGGTGAGTTGGTATTGGTGTACCTTGTAGACCCCTGTGGTGCTCATCAGAGGAGTAAGGAGGACCCTGAGTTAGTAGTGAGAGTTACTTATGGATTTAAGAAGCTCCAGTATCCGTCTGCACTAGGGATGGTATTTGGCTCTTTCCCTTGGGGGCAGTCAACTTTTTTATTGTTTAATGGGAGTTGGAGATGTGAGGAGGGGACATGGTCTTACCTTCCTTTGCTAGGTTCCAAACTGTTCACTTCTAATTCCCACAGACTTGAAGATTCAAGGGGAAACCCATGACAGTATTGAGGATGCCCGAACAGCCCTTCAGCTCTACCGAAAATATCTGGAGCTAAGCAAAAATGGCACTGAGCCTGAGTCCTTCCACAAAGTGCTCAAAGGTCTTTATGAGAAGGGCCGAAAGATGGACTGGAAGGTGCCTGAACCTGAGGGCCAGACAAGTCCCAAGAGTAAGACCTGGGATGGGGCAAGGGAAATGGGGCAAGGGAAACTGGACAGGGTGGGTTTTGACTGTGTATGTAAAGATTATACCCAGGGTGATAATAATAATCATGGTGATGTCAGCAACACTACCCAATACCCCCACCTTGTATTTGTAAAGCCCTCAGTAGTTTACGAAGCACTTAATCTTCCCAACATTCAGTGAAGTAGATTTGATTACTGAAACTCTCCATTGATCCTAACCTCCTTTTCCCGGTTCTAAAATGTTTGGGGCAAGTTTGCCCTCTTTTCTCTTGCTTTTTCTACACTCACCTTAAGAGTCAATGCTCTTGGTTTTGTCTCTGACAGATGCAGCTGTCTTCTCCTCAGTGTTGGCGCTCTGACCTCACCCTCTTCCAGCGAACTGCCCCCTCTCCCTTCAGTGTTCTGTGGCCCCAGAACTGGGAGATGGCTTTCCAAGCTGGCTATACCTTGTCCGCTTCCGGAATTGGACCTGCTCAGGGTCTACAGATGGTGCTATTAATAGAACTGGAACGCAGCAGAGTTGTTGCAAAGGGAAGAGAAGCCAGATTCCTTTTTCGTCCTTTGCAAAATAGAAGTCCAGAAACAGAGTCTAGAAATGACCCAAATGGAAAGTAATTGGTATTTTCCATTAATATCCTGGGTAATTAATATCCAGGCCACACAAAAACAAAAACAAAACCCCACATAAAACAAAACAAACGCTCCTGGAACCAGTACTCTCAGTTCCTAGTTGGCTAAGCACTGAAGTCCTGGACAGTGACAGGCTTACAACAATAGCTCAGGACAGCTCAAGTCTCTGACTGCTTGAGGGATGCCTGGAGGGGTCAGGACATCGAGTATTGGTGTTCCTAGCAAACCAGTGTTGCCAACACCATCATTGCCAAAAGGGCCTTTGGGTCCTAGACAAAGCTTGGCTGCCGGCTTCACTCCGGCTGACAGCTGAGAAGCATCTGTCTTCCATCCACTCTCCTGTCCCATGTTTTGTTATTTTTTAAAATTTTGTTTTAAACTGCATGTTTTATAAAATAAAAACAAAAATATTATTGGCTGTTATCTATGTCATTAGAGACCTGGGAGTGTGGGATGCTCTGACTTAAGCCCTTCTTCTGCTTTATTTGTATTGGCTTTCTCAAACTGGGAGAAAAACCAAAGCTTTCAAATTCCCACCTAGAAATGAAGGTGAAGCTCTGGAGTCCAAAGTTAAAGATGTTGGAGGAATACAATTATGTCTTTCCTCCACAATGTTAGGTCTTTGCTGTGACTGCCCAGTGCCCTAAGGTCGGATTCTTTTAAGACATAAGGTATGGTTTCCTCGTTAACATTGCAAAAGGAAAGTTGGGGAAGCTGACAAACTACAGGTTTCAGGTTATCTCGAGACCTGTAGATACTAACAGGATCCGTGTAGTGCTGCGGTGCTTCCTGGGAGTTGTAGTTTCCTGGCTATTGAAACCAGGGCTTCTCACCCACCAGCAGTGCACCTTCCTTTTGGAAGGTCCTAGCGCACCTAGACTGACAGACGCGCGCGTCAGACCGCCTCCTTACGCGCTCTGTCCTTGCTTCAGGCCACTCCTATTCTTCGGCTGACCCCTGGTGGTCACGTGGAGCTGCTCGCCACGCAAGTCTGGGTCCTTCTGCGATCCACCGGGGTCCTCGCTGCCTAGAAGCCTCTCTTGAGCTGCCTGTTCGCGCGAGAGTTTGGAGGGGCGGGTTTGGGGTCGGTCACCGGTGTGGGGCTCGCGCTGCCGCGCATCGGAACCCCGCTTAGGCGCCCGCGTAGAGTGCGGGGAGCTGGGTCAGGCAGTCGCTGGGGCACCCTGCTTGGAAAGTGCCGGAGCGCTCTGGAGAAGCCTGGACAGCCCCGCTCCCCAGCAGCCAGGTGCTAGGGTCGGGAGCTAAAGTGAGAGTCCGGCCGTCTTCGAGCGCCTGGGCCACGGCGGCGGCCCTGGGAGCAGAGGTGGGACGGGTGCGAGTGGCACTAGTGTCGGGGATGGACTGAAGCGAAGGCAATGGCGGCGTCCTTAGAAAGGGGGCTGGTCCGCACGGGAAATAGCTTATGGTCTGGAGGTGGGGATGCAGTAATCTAAGGTGTGGGCCCACATAGGCCCGTTATTGAGTGCTCTTCTCCCGCCCTCCACCTCGCTGCCTCCCGGCCTGAATCACCCGCCTCTCTTGCCGGCAGGTCCTCTGTGCCTGCTGTCCTCGCTTAATCGCCAGCCTCCGTTCCGCAGCTGCCACATAACTCTGTAAGCCCTAGGCAGCCGACGCTGAAGTACCAACATCTGGGGACTCACCTGTCGACGTAGAGTCTGGGGCTGAGCCCCAAGTCCCTAGCTCGCGCTCTCACTCACCGCCGGGGGAATCCGAGTTCTCAGGCGCTGGGAACAGAGGAGCCCCTTTGTGTCCTGGCCATTTCCTGAAAAGTAGAGCCAGAGTCACAGTGAGGCCTTTGTAGGCTTTGGGATGAGGGATGGGGGGGTTGGGTAATGGAGCCGGCTGCTCACACCTATGTTTTATTCCAACCCAAACCCAGGTGGAGCAACCCCGTAACGCTAAAGATGAAAGGCTGGGGTTGTCTGGCCCTGCTTCTGGGGGCCCTGCTGGGAACTGCCTGGGCTCGAAGGAGCCAGGATCTACACTGTGGAGGTAAGGGGACAAAGAGAAAAAGTGAGAGGAGGAGGGTGGGGAAGACAGAGCCTTGGGAGAGCATGAGATCCAGGGCCTGGGAGAAAGATGAATGGAAATCCCTGGTGATTCCTTTCTCCTTTCCTCCCTTCTCCTTTCTCTCCTCTCCCACCAGCTTGCAGGGCTCTGGTGGATGAACTAGAGTGGGAAATTGCCCAGGTGGATCCCAAGAAGACCATTCAGATGGGCTCTTTCCGAATTAATCCGGATGGCAGCCAGTCAGTGGTGGAGGTAACTGTTACTCTTCCCCCAAATAAAGTAGCTCACTCGGACTTTGAATGAGAACTCGACTAATTAAGAACCTTGGTTTAATAGAAGTGAAGAAAACATTGACCCAGAGAGGTAGCTAAAAGATAAGCTTGTCTCATTTGTAAGAGGCTTCTACCCTATGCATGTGTTTCCTGGTCCCAAACCTTAAGACTTTATTTCTGCTGTGGTTGGTTGTCAGCAAACCCAGATCAGCACCCTTCTCCACATCCTTAATTCATGTCACTCATGTTTTCACTATGGCATAATCGTATATGTACATTCATTCAAAATAGAAAGAGAAGGTCTTATCCTCGTATTTAGGAAATCTATGTTTTAGTTGAAAACAACACAAATACACAAAGCTGTATCTAGTCAGCAGTTTATAAGGAAAACTTAAGGCTACAATGTCTGTGAGATGCTTTAATAATTGTTATCCTTGGGGCACCTGGGTGGCTCAGTGGGTTAAGCCGCTGCCTTCGGCTCGGGTCATGATCTCAGGGTCCTGGGATCGAGCCCTGCATTGGGCTTTCTGCTCGGCGGGGAGCCTGCTTCCTCCTCTCTCTCTGCCTGCCTCTCTGCCTGCTTGTGATCTCTGTCAAATAAATAAATAAAATCTTAAAAAAAATAATAATAATTGTTATCCTCAAAGCCTATATTACCTCTCTAATGCTCCTGTTGAGAATAGGTATTAGTCTCATTGAATACAAAGAAATAAAACCATTAGCTTACATCTAGTATATGAGGTAAAATAAGATCATATACTTGAAAGCACTTTGGAACTATACAGATGAATTCTGTTGTTTTTAATTAAGGAAGGCGTTCTAGAATAAGTTGATCGAACTAGATTTGAAAGGAAAAGTAAGGATATAAATTACTAACGTACAGACGTAGAAGAATGTGACCCAAGGCTGAGGACATTTCTAGGTGCCTTATGCTCGCTCAGAGGCCCACCTCACAGAGCTGCTAGAGGAGGTATGTGACCGGATGAAGGAGTATGGGGAGCAGATTGACCCTTCCACCCACCGCAAGAACTACGTACGTGTAGTGGGCCGGAATGGAGAATCCAATGAACTGGACCTACAGGGCATCCGAATTGATTCAGACATCAGTGGCACTCTCAAGTTTGCGGTGAGCTTTGGGAGTGGGTAGCTGGTTTTTGAAGATTCGGGGAGTTACTGGAGAGCCCAAGTGGCAAGCTGTGCTAATGTCCTCCTCCTCTCTGGAGGCTTCTTCTTGCTGCCTTCTCTCACTCATTTCTCCCTTGGGTTGACAGTGTGAGAGCATTGTGGAGGAATATGAGGATGAACTCATTGAATTCTTTTCCCGAGAGGCTGACAATGTTAAAGACAAACTTTGTAGTAAGCGAACAGGTAAACTACTCTCATTTTACTGCCAGTCTTCACAGCCCTTTGGAACCCGGCACATTCCCTAGCATGTTCCTCCACCTCCCACCCCCATGTCCCATTCTCTGATAGTAGCTCCAGACATGGCTTCTATTATTTATGACTTAGGGACTTGGGTTCTTCCTCTCCATTCTCTTCCTGTCAGCTTTCAGAATTTGTGGCTCCCTCAACCTGAGCTACAGGTGAGAGGATAGTGGGAATGTTTTGTCTTTGAAAAGGATATGCTCTGAGAAATGATGGTGTGTGCTAGTTTGGTTTTGGGTATTTTCTCGATAGTGGCATATATCGGTATGAGAGTGGCATTTTCCTTCAAATTGTTATGTGCTATTTGCAGATCTGTGTGACCATGCCCTGCACATATCGCATGATGAGCTATGAACTACTGGAGCGGCCCAGACTGACAGGCTTGATGGATCACCCCCAGGAGGGGAAGAGGGTGGCAATGCCTTTTCTATTATGTTTTTACTGAAATGAACTGAAAAATTGTGAAACCAAAAGTATGAACTGTGTTGTCTTTTCATACCCAGCATTAATCCTTATATTAGGCTTAAAGATAGGGGATTCCCAATAGGAAAGGGAAGGGAAGGAGGAGCTTTGGAAATGGTGAAGTATTTGGAAAGCATGAAGGTAGGAGGAGTCTGAGGCTTGCTTTCTTTTGCCATCTGAGATTCCTGCTGGACTCACAAACTAGATAAGCACTTATCAGTGCTTACTCAGTACCATGTGTTTAGAGACTAATCGTGGCGAGAAGAGGAGCTTCTGTGAATAAGCAAGGGAACATAGGTAAGTGTGTGGTAGTATGGGATTCTAGAAATTACTTGTATTTATACCGATGAAACATAAAGTAAGACAGAGCTTGATCTTGAAATAACGGACATGCATTATTCTCCCCTCCCTGCCCTTCCAGACAGAGGGATCAGCAGTAGCAGACAAAAAGGGGAAATGGATATGATCAACTCATCTGAAACGTAAGGGCTCTATCAGATAGGGAGAGATGAGGTAAGGAGTGTTATTTAATGAAGGCCCTTGCTTGCTGACCTAAGCTTTTAGATCTTGATGCCAACTGCAACACTAAAGTATACCTTTATCATCTCCATCTGTCACCCTGGACTGTAAGTCTGTCCCCACTTTTTATGTGTAGAGATTCTGTACTGCATAGGGATGAAAACCTATAGGGATGATACCTTCTATAAGGAGCTTCTAAACACCTCTGATCCAGAGGTGTGTCTGTCTCAGGGTTTGGAATGGAACATTTCTATCCCAGGAATGTCTCAGGGAAAGAACACCTGAATAAACATTTTGAAGACTTTTTGAATTACGCGTTTTAGAATCTAAGAGACTTTGCAGGTCATCTAGTTCACCTCTGCCCATTTTACAGATGAAGAAGCTGAAGCCCAGAGATACCACCAGTCCTGAAGTTCTGTAGTGGCTAAATTGGATCAATAAGCTAATGTTCCCAAGTGTCAGTCTGATCAAATAGAGGTGTAAAGTAGCTTCTATTTTAAATCTTTTTTTCTCTTAATACCGTGCACTAAGCCTGGCACACAAAGTGAACAGGTTCAACAAAGCTTTCTTGTACCACAAATCCCTATGAAATCTAACACATGAACTAGTTCAGAGCAAGTATCCTGATATTAGTTGACAACTAAACTCAGGGTCTAGTGTTAATTCCTTCTTTTCTCATCAGACACAAGAAATGCTATATCCTGTCAAGTTCATTTTCCAGACCAGCTGTCACTAACCATTTTTTTCTCCTGTGATGCATATGAATAATGTTCACATGCTTCATACCCCTGTGAGTATACCCAGGATTCTGTCTATTGTTTTGTGTCTGAAAACTTACTCTTCCATCAGAAAGCTTATCAAAAGTCTGATAGTACTCTTATAGGAAACTCGAAATTGTTTTAATGTACAAAACAAATTATTTACAAGTTTTAATAAAATAGTGTTGACAATAAATTAATAGTGATACACCTCACTAGTCTGTCAAGACACAGCTATTAAGAACTCTCCTGCCCAAGAATCTTTGCCATTGCTACACAGGGATGTGTCCTACATAGGGAAGAGTGGACATTATTGTCCTTGGCTTGATCCTCAGTTAGGAAGATATAGTTTGCACAGCTCTTTTTTTTTTTTTTAAGATTTTTATTTATTTGACAGACAGAGATCACGAGCAGGCAGAGAGGCAGGCAGAGAGAGAGGAGGAAGCAGGTTCCCTTCGGAGCAGAGAGCCTGATGTGGGTCTCGATCCCAGGACCCTGGGATCATGACCTGAGCCGAAGGCAGAGGCTTTAACCCACTGAGCCACCCAGGTGCCCCTGCACAGCTCTTTATTCATATCACAGGTTACCACAAGGAATCCACCAATTTATCTGAACCCTTCTGGAGGTTCCCTATAACATTATTCTAGCCCATTATTTGGTAGATCAAATAGTAACTTTGCATACCTGATTACACCTTAAGCTTTAGATATCTTCTAAATGAGTTTATCAGTAAAATGTTAGAACTTAAAGAAACATCCTCAGAGATAGTATTAAATGAGATCTGGATGTGACTGAACAAATTATGTGAAAATCTAGTCCTTTAAAAGTTTTAGGGGCAACTGTGTGGCTCAGTCTGTTAAGCGTCTTGTCTTCGGCTCAGGTCATGATCCCAGGGTCCTGCGTTGAGCCCCGCCTCAGGCCCCTGCTCAGTGGGGAGCCTGCTTCTCCCTCTCTCCCTTTCAATCACTCAAATAAATAAAATCTTTTTTTTTTTTAAGATTTTATTTGTTTATTTGACAGACAGAGATCACAAGTAGGCAGAGAAGCAGGCAGAGAGAGAGGAGGAAGCAGGCTCCCCGCTGAGCAGAGTCCGATGCGGGGCTCGATCCCAGGACCCTGGGATCATGACCTGAGCCAAAAGCAGAGGCTTTAACCCACTGAGCCACCCAGGCGCCCCTCAAATAAATAAAATCTTTAAAAATTAAAAAAAAAAAAAAAAGGTTTAGAGGGTTTTTATGCTATTAAAAAGGATTCAGAGCAGGGACAAGATTATCCTTTAAATATAGGACACGGATGAATAGCAAGGGTAAAAGAACTAGTATATGGTGAATCCTCCTATAACAAGCACATACACCTTATTTAATCTTTACAATTCTAAGAAATAGATGTTACTCCCATTTTACAGATGAAGAAACTAAGCTCAAAGGGATTGTGTCTTGGGGAGCCAAGACTTCAGTCTTAGTGATCATCTTATCCCTGGGCCAGTGGTCTTTCTGCTACATTTCACTCCCTATAGTGGAGTCTCCATGTAGTCCCCAGTGCCTGTGTACACTAGTACTTTTATTTGTTTGAAAACTACCTCCCAAGTTTGAACACATGCCCTCTGACTCTAATAATCAATACCGAAAAGGCATCATACCTCCTGCAAGCTGTTTCTCCAGACTGATTATTCCTTGTAATAAGAAGCCATTCTACCCCTGGTCACTTTAGGTGCTGTTTGTCTTTCCTACCTGTATGTATTCTGGGAGGGTCATGATTTATCATGTATTTCCAGGTATGAATGTACAAAAGTTTTATAGATAAGTAAGACTATAGT